TCTTAGCTGAAAGGAGTGGCACCCGGTGTGGTCTTCTGCTGCTGTAGCCCATCTGCCTCAAAGTTGGACGTACTGTGCGTTCAGAGATGCTCTTCTGCCCACCTTGGTTGTAACGGGTGGTTATTTGAGTCACTGTTGCCCTTCTATCAGCTCGAACCAGTCTGGCCATTCTCCTCTGACCTCTGGCATCAACAAGGCATTTCCGCCCACAGAACTGCCGCTCACTGGATGTTTTTTCTTTTTCGGACCATTCTCTGTAAACCCTAGAGATGGTAGTGCGTGACAATCCCAGTAGATCAGCAGTTTCTGAAATACTCAGACCAGCCCTTCTGGCACCAACAATCACGCCACGTTCAAAGTCACTCAAATCACCTTTCTTCCCCATACTGATGCTCGGTTTGAACTGCAGGAGATTGTCTTGACCATGTCTACATGCCTAAATGCACTGAGTTGCCGCCATGTGATTGGCTGCTTAGAAGTTAAGTGTTAACGAGCAGTTGGACAGGTGTACCTAATAAAGTGGCCGGTTAGTGTTGATTCTCACTTCCCCAGTGATGCAACGGGAGAGAGTTGGACATCCTGCCTCAGCAGCACAGGAAACTACTAACATTCTTCTGTGTTCTTCACAGAATAAGAAGCAAGGATGCAACAATGCAGAGATCCTGGCTGTTTTGGGTCATGAGCTCGGCCACTGGAAGCTCGGTCATACCGTCAAGAACATAGTCATCAGTCAGGTGATGAGCCGTCATTAACTGAAAGCTTGATCATTTTTCTTTAGGATAAACTAACTGTGTTTCACTCTCATCTGCAGATGAATTCCTTCCTCTGCTTCTCCCTGTTTGCGGTTCTGATTGGACGCAGGGAGCTGTTTGTGGCCTTTGGGTTCACCGACAGTCAGCCCACATTGATTGGTTTGATGATCATCTTCCAGTTCATCTTCTCTCCTTACAACGAGGTAATGGAGGTTGCCTTATCACAGGTTTTGCATGATCTAAAGGTGTTCATATGCTCACCTCCCTCCTCCCTCTCTCTGCAGCTTCTATCCTTCTGTCTGACGGTCCTGAGTCGCAGGTTTGAGTTCCAGGCAGACGCCTTTGCTCGTGGTATGGGCAAAGCTTCAGAGCTGTACTCTGCTCTAATCAAGCTCAACAAGGACAACCTGGGCTTCCCCGTGGCAGACTGGCTCTTCTCCATGTGGCACTATTCCCACCCTCCTCTCCTGGAGCGCCTCAGGGCGCTGGGAAACGTCAAACAGGACTGACGGGGCTGGAAGGGGGAGCGGCGGGCGCTGCCTCCTCCTAAGGGCCTCCGCAGACCGCTCCTGGCCCTGTGAAGCTGCCTGATCCTTTTCCTCCCATCTGTCCCCGACCATTAAGTTTTATCTAATTTTACTCTCTCTAATTTCAACAAAACCAAAACATAATGACGTAAGGCAACCTAAACAGCATCAGCCTGTCCCCTTTTTCCTCCAGAAAAACCATTTATGCAGTCTGCTGTCAGGAATCTTCTGGACAATGTTTGTTTAGAAAAAGATTGTCGAGTGCAGTTTAGTTTACAGGTTGATTTATTATTTATTGAACATATTCTGTATATATTTTAAAAGAAAAATACATTTTAAGATTTTCTTTTTCTCAGATTATTGATCTCAATAATGGGATGCAAGCAGGATGTCAAACTAGTAAAGAATTTCTTTACTTTGTATTCCAGTTTCCTGTTATTAAAGAGGTGTAGCATTAAAAAGCCTAATCTGTATTCATGGCAATGCTTTTTATAAATAAACAGGCCAGATTTTGATTCATAATGCAGTTGCTGGCCCTTGAACAGTTAGTTACTGTCCATATCAAACGTTTTTTTTTTCTTTTATAATTGGTTTAAGCTGATTTTCTGTTAGGGAATCCTAAACAGCTGGTAACCATCAAAATGTGAGTGCCTCTGAATATCTTTTTGTTTTGACAGTGGAAACAATGTGGACAGAGCAGCTCAGACCATTTTAGTTGAGCTTAAATTAGAAGTTTTATTTTCTACATGAAATGAGGAATTGTTTTATTTTTCTGAAGTACTTGCTTGCAGTGAAAGGGTTCTACCCGGCCTGTAAATAATGTCTTTGTAGTGATTTAGGTTTAGGGTGTTTGAAAATGAAATGTGAAAATCTTGAATGTGGTTTGAAATCGACAAAAGTTTAGTTTCTTCTCTTGGATTTTTGGCGCCAGGGTTGCCCGGCAAGCAAAGTATTTATGGGGACATTTATGGAAAGGAGGGCTACAGCTTTCCTTCAGCACACAAGCCAGTCTGGTTTGCTCCAACGAGGGGGGAGTTGATGCTTTCTTTGCTGTGTTGAATAAAATTCTGCAAAGCACGGGTCTCCTTCTGTTTACCTGCTATTTTCCGACTTCTGGAAGTGTTGCTTTGATCATAAAGTTCTAGTTATTTAAGCAACAGTGTTTAACCTATGAAATATTAAATTACAATTTTAGCGCCCCTAGTGGATAAGCGTGTCAGTATTGCTCTAATTTATTCCTTTTGGTAACTTTTAAAAATGATATCAAATACATTTTTATTGAGACCCATTTCTGCAATGTTTTGAAAATTGTAACTGAGCTGCCCCCTTATGAAATATTATCAAGTCATAGTTTAGGTCTCAAGAAAAAAAAAAAAACTAGAATGCACAGACAACAGTATAGTATAGTACAGCTGTATAGTGAAGAAATTGTCTGGCTTTTAGGGATATGAGAAGAGCTTTGATTCAGACCAGCTCTATAGGGTTTTTAGTTACATGTTCAACCTGGGCCTGACGCTTTAAATAAACAGAATTATTTCAAAGTCTCTCAGTACTGGACAGTACTGTAAACAGGTTATGAACAGAGTCCTCGAGCTTTACACAGGATTGTACGGGTGTGTTTCTTTCTGACTTGTAGAACCGAATCTATTTTTACAATGCAGCTGAAACATTCATATTTCTTGTGAGTAAAATGACGCTATTATTTCTCGTTATTAAGACAATTACTCAAATCTTTTGATTACTTTCCCAGAACATTCAATAAACTAGAATATAATTATGAGGCAATACCTCTTACATCTGTTTGCTATTTTCCAGCATGGAGATTGTGGGTTCAAATCCCCAGTCTGTCTGTCCGTTCATCCGTCTATCTGTCTATCTAAAGTTATGTTTTATATATTTTTTTATTTTTATATATATATATAAAAAATACATTGTTAACTAGTTTTTATATGTATATATATATGAAGTTATGTTATATATAGAACATAACATAAATGTTATGTGTTATATATAAATATATAGCATATATATATATATTATATATGTGTGTATATATATATGTGTGTGTATATATATATATATATATATATATATATACACTATATTGCCAAAAGTATTTGCTCACCTGCCTTGACTCACATATGAGCTTAAGTGACATCCCGTTCCTAATCCATAGGGTTCAATATGACGTCGGTCCACCCTTTGCAGCTAGAACAGCTTCAACTCTTCTGGGAAGGCTGTCCACAAGGTTTAGGAGTGTGTTTATGGGAATTTTTGACCATTCTTCCAGAAGCGCATTTGTGAGGTCGCACACTGATGTTGGACGAGAAGGCCTGGCTCTCAGTCTCCGCTCTAATTCATCCCAAAGGTGTTCTATCGGGTTGAGGTCAGGACTCTGTGCAGGCCAGTCAAGTTCATCCACACCAGACTCTGTCATCCATGTCTTTATGGACCTTGCTTTGTGCACTGGTGCACAGTCATGTTGGAAGAGGAAGGGGCCAGCTCCAAACTGTTCCCACAAAGTTGGGAGCATGGAATTGTCCAAAATGTCTTGGTATGCTGAAGCATTCAGAGTTCCTTTCACTGGAACTAAGGGGCCAAGCCCAGCTCCTGAAAAACAACCTCACACCATAATCCCCCCTCCACCAAACTTTACACTTGGCACAATGCAGTCAGACAAGTACCGTTCTCCTGGCAACCGCCAAACCCAGACCCGTCCATCAGATTGCCAGATGGAGAAGCGCGATTCGTCACTCCAGAGAACGCGTCTCCACTGCTCTAGAGTCCAGTGGCGGCGTGCTTTACACCACCGCATCCGACGCTTTGCATTGCACTTGGTGATGTATGGCTTGGATGCAGCTGCTCGACCATGGAAACCCATTCCATGAAGCTCTCTGCGCACTGTTCTTGAGCTAATCTGAAGGCCACATGAAGTTTGGAGGTCTGTAGTGATTGACTCTGCAGAAAGTTGGCGACCTCTTCGCACTATGCGCGTCAGCATCCGCTGACCCCGCTCCGTCAGTTTACGTGGCCTACCACTTCGTGGCTGAGTTGCTGTCGTTCCCAAACACTTCCATTTTCTTATAATACAGCTGACAGTTGACTGTGGAATATTTAGGAGCGAGGAAATTTCACGACTGGATTTGTTGCACAGGTGGCATCCTATCACAGTTCCACGCTGGAATTCACTGAGCTCCTGAGAGCGACCCATTCTTTCACAAATGTTTGTAAAAACAGTCTGCATGCCTAGGTGCTTGAATTTATACACCTGTGGCCATGGAAGTGATTGGAACACCTGATTCCAATAATTTGGATGGGTGAGCAAATACTTTTGGCAATATAGTGTATATATATATACATGTGTGTGTGTGTATGTATATGTGTGTGTATATATATATATACATGTGTGTGTGTATGTATATATATAATGTGTGTGTGTGTGTGTCCGTACAGTATGTTGTAACTCATGTTGCCTCGAAAGCAAAAATGACCCTTTTGACGTGGGGTCAGCTTTCAGCAAATACGTAAATAACGTGAGATGTCACGCCGTTGGACGTACCATTACGAAAGTCAAGCTTTCGTTAGGTAAAACACAGTGTATTATAAGTAAAACTGAATACTGTAATGTTACTCCAGCAGAGTGTCAGAACGTTGTTCATCATGAGCCTTTTATTTATCTCTGAGCATAAACCGGTCAGCATAAACTCTACCCCCCCTCCGTCTCGCGATAATGGTTCCGTCCTCTGGTTTATTTCTGTGGACAAGGGCACAGCGTCAGTGTCACTGGTGTTTTTCTATCTTACAGTGAAACATGGCGAGGTTCCTGAGGTTAAACGTCAGGAATTTTGTCACATCCCAGATTAGGATGTCATCTGACCAGGTAATGACTATTTGCTGAATTTAAAAAGCCGATTGGGGCATAATTTTTCCCAGCTAGCTAAAAAAGAAAATGAAAAAAATCATAACACGATGGAACATGTTTTAGCTAGCCATTGTTCATAGATCACATTTCATCTTTGGGGATCAGGGAAAAGGTGTGTTACTCTGTCCTGTTCATGGAGCATTAATTACCACCTGCGTCAGAACAGAGCAGCAGCACCGTCTCTTTGTATCCAACATTGTGTCCCAGACTCTAGTCTGTTCCACAGTCTGCTTTAAAATCCTACTGCTAGCTTCAAACCTCTCCAACTGATCCTGACCTTCAAAGCTGAGCTCACTCTGGCGCGTTATAACATCACTCTAGAAAGCATAAAGTGTTATTCTGGTGTTAAAATTCATCATTTTTGTATTTCGCATCATACCAATTTTTAATTGTTAGAAGTGATTTTAAGGTGCTTTTTGAAATAAATAGCCTTTATAAGCAATCTTAAAACATATCTTACGGGCTTTTAGAAATTATGATTTGATTCTTATTTAACATCCTGTTATCAGCTGTGCTGCTGCCATCAACACCTTTGTTTATAGATGTTGGAGATCGGCCTGTTTTCCAGTGTAGTCCTGTTTCTCTGACTGTCACTGGCTGGATGTGCTCTCTCTTTATCCTCTGACATGGGAGCTCGTCTGCCTGGCTGTGTGTTTCCTGGATTTTTCTATGTCTCCTTCTGTCTCCTTGAACCCCAGTCGGCCTCAGCAGATGGCCGCTCACACTGAGCCTGGTTCTGCTGGAGGTTTCTTCCTGTTCAAAGGGAGTTTTTCCTCTCCACTGCCGCTAGAAGTATGCTTGGTATGATGGATTGCATTCGAGTCAATGAGTCGATGCAATCAACTGGTTTTCCTTAGATAGAAAACTTTGAATCAATTTGACTGGATGATCTGGTGAACTGTAAATTGCCTTGAGATGACTTGTTGTGAATTGGCACTATAGAAATAAACTGAATTGAGTTAGGTCAGTTATATTTCTGTTTTTTTTTTCCTGCCCTATTACTTTGATTCTGTGTTTTAATCATTTAAATTGTTTATTTTGGTGATTGATTTGAATTTTAAATAGATTTTTTTTTGTTTTTGTGGAGGATTTTTTTCCCACTCAACCTTGTGGACTTGTCAGCCTCACTGAAGGGGTTTTGAGTTCCAATGATGTATTTAAGGGTTGGATTTAAATTTGGGCTTTGACTAGACCAGTGAAAACACAACTAAAGCTTGCAGAGAACATCTTCCTGAGCGTCTCACAGAAGCACTCTTGGATAAATATTTAGTACTACTAAAATGTTCCCCAAAGCCACATAATTTCTTTGGAGATATTAGCTCATTCTGGACAACATGGCACAGTTTGTTGATTCTTTCTCCTTAATGTTGTCAGAATTTAGCCTTCCAAAGATGTGGTTAATCACTGTCATTTAATGGTTTAACAGTTTATTGATTTAAAATATTAGTGTAATTTAAAAAAAAGACTTGTAGCATACGAAATACAGTTACTGGGAAGTATGAAATGCTTCTTCTGATTTTCCATTTGAATATATTTGTCTTCTTAATTCTAAAGATGACTTTGATTAACCAATGCAAGAGCTACGTCCTAATTCTGATGGGAAATAAATCCTATTCAGCCATAAGAGGAGTGAATCCTACAGAGAATTTTCAAAGACTAGATGCAATCAACTGGGTTTCAACAGATATACAAATTCTAGAAGAACAGAACTTTTATTGTCATTCCACTGTCACAAGTACAAAGCAACGAAATTCACTCTCTGCATTTAACCCATCACTTTGGGGAGCAGTGGGCTGCCATTGTGCGGCGCCCGGGGAGCAGTGTGAGGTTAAGGGTCTTGCTCAGGGACCCAAGAGTGCAGGCTGTGGGAGTGGGGCTTGAGCTCAAAACTTCTGGGATCCAAGAGCAATGCCCTAACCACTACAGTAGTCAACTACTCCACTTTTCACCTATTGGTCTGTATATTCGGATTACATTTCCTGTTTAAAGGGTCTTTAGATGGCGTGTTTTATGAATCAGGGCTGTAGTAATGAACTGAACTGAATACAGGCATCGTTGGGACACTTAAAATTCGTACAGCATGATACACTATATTGCCAAAAGTATTTGCTCACCCATCCAAATTATTGGAATCAGGTGTTCCAATCACTTCCATGGCCACAGGTGTATAAATTCAAGCACCTAGGCATGCAGACTGTTTTTACAAACATTTGTGAAAGAATGGGTCGCTCTCAGGAGCTCAGTGAATTCCAGCGTGGAACTGTGATAGGATGCCACCTGTGCAACAAATCCAGTCGTGAAATTTCCTCGCTCCTAAATATTCCACAGTCAACTGTCAGCTGTATTATAAGAAAATGGAAGTGTTTGGGAACGACAGCAACTCAGCCACGAAGTGGTAGGCCACGTAAACTGACGGAGCGGGGTCAGCGGATGCTGACGCGCATAGTGCGAAGAGGTCGCCAACTTTCTGCAGAGTCAATCACTACAGACCTCCAAACTTCATGTGGCCTTCAGATTAGCTCAAGAACAGTGCGCAGAGAGCTTCATGGAATGGGTTTCCATGGTCGAGCAGCTGCATCCAAGCCATACATCACCAAGTGCAATGCAAAGCGTCGGATGCGGTGGTGTAAAGCACGCCGCCACTGGACTCTAGAGCAGTGGAGACGCGTTCTCTGGAGTGACGAATCGCGCTTCTCCATCTGGCAATCTGATGGACGGGTCTGGGTTTGGCGGTTGCCAGGAGAACGGTACTTGTCTGACTGCATTGTGCCAAGTGTAAAGTTTGTTGGAGGGGGGATTATGGTGTGGGGTTGTTTTTCAGGAGCTGGGCTTGGCCCCTTAGTTCCAGTGAAAGGAACTCTGAATGCTTCAGCATACCAAGACATTTTGGACAATTCCATGCTCCCAACTTTGTGGGAACAGTTTGGAGCTGGCCCCTTCCTCTTCCAACATGACTGTGCACCAGTGCACAAAGCAAGGTCCATAAAGACATGGATGACAGAGTCTGGTGTGGATGAACTTGACTGGCCTGCACAGAGTCCTGACCTCAACCCGATAGAACACCTTTGGGATGAATTAGAGCGGAGACTGAGAGCCAGGCCTTCTCGTCCAACATCAGTGTGCGACCTCACAAATGCGCTTCTGGAAGAATGGTCAAAAATTCCCATAAACACACTCCTAAACCTTGTGGACAGCCTTCCCAGAAGAGTTGAAGCTGTTCTAGCTGCAAAGGGTGGACCGACGTCATATTGAACCCTATGGATTAGGAACGGGATGTCACTTAAGCTCATATGTGAGTCAAGGCAGGTGAGCAAATACTTTTGGCAATATAGTGTATATATGAAAACAATTTTTAAAAAAGGTTTTCCATGGAATCCTATAGAGGCTAAATTTCTGTTTTTGTGTTTTTTTTTTTCATACAAGTGGTTTAATTGACGTTTTGGTTTTGAATTTTTTTAGCCGCTATACTGGGAAAAATGTGCATAAAGACTCTTGATTCTTTCATGTTTTTATTCTTTCCTGCAGTTGGGGGAGCTGGGTAAAGGTGCAGGAAAAGGTGGAGGTGGTGGAGGCTCCATCAGAGAGGCAGGTGGATCCATGGGGAAGAAGCAAGCCGCCGAGGAGGAGATGTATTTCAAGTATGTTTATTATTCATACAAACAGCGTAATCAATTAACTATTAAAAAATCTAATTGTTGCATTTCTCCACTTCTTTTTAACACTCACATTGTGTGTGGGAACCCGTTACCCCATGCAACGATATATAAGGCAAAAAGAGCAGGAGCAGCTGAATGCACTGAGGCAGCACCACCTGGAAGAAATTGATCACCACAAGAAGGAGATCGAACGGCTGCAGCGGGAGATCGACCGCCACAAGGGAAAGATCAGGAAGCTGAAGCACGACGACTGAGTGGAACACTCCCAACAAAACAAAAGCTTATTTTCACTCGCCGTGCAAAAAAGCCTTTTGACGCACCTGTTACTGCATGCATTTACCAGGAAGGATCTGAATGTGTGGAAGATTTTCTGTAAATGATTGAAAGTTATTAAATTTTCTCATCTATTGTTGTGTTTCTATGGTTTGCTGTGGTTGCAATTGTACAATTCCACACATCATCGTTGTGCTTTTCACACTGCCATCAAAAGACCTACGGTTAAAACATGTGAACGTCAGCCTTAAATATTGTTTCAATGAATAAAAAATGTGCATGGCACTGAAGGTTTAAAACATCTAAGGCATTTTACTGTTTTTTTTTTTTAGCATTCAGACACTGGCAGAGCTTTGGTGTAGGGAGTCCACCGCCGTGGTTTTGGAAGAGAGGATTTTAATTTGCTGAAGTGTTGAGATTTGTTTTAGGGTGGATGTAAAATCGCTGAAAATGCAGTAAGTAGATAATTTTAAAGAAATTTCTTTAAAAACCTGGTATCAAAAACAGTAATGCATTTATTACATAGCTGGTTCAATAAGTGCAAGGTTATAACCTTAAAGTTATATTTTCTGACTTTATCTCTAACCAGATATGCAAATAAAGGCTTCTATGGAAGCCTGTTGCCGCCACTCTTAAAAAAAAAAAAAACATGATCTAATTATATTGAGTTACTATCTCATTATATTGCATCATTACGATTTATTACAAATTCTAAGTCCCTTACTCATCACTGCATTCTTTATGATCTACTTGGTTGGACATCACTAACAATTCGTAGAAAACAGCACTGGTATATCTTTATCTATAAATCAATACTTGGTAAACTCCCAATGTACCTCTGTAACCTCCTCTCTGTGAGTTCTGGTAGTTACCAGTTGCGCTCCTCTCATTGGTTACTTTTTAATGTACCCCGAGCTTCAACTGAGCTGGGAAAAACTGCATTCTCCTATTCTGCACCTTGGGGATGGAATAACCTCCAGAAAGAGCTCAAATTAGAAACTCTAGTGTCCATTAATTAATTTAAAGTTATGCTACGTTCACACCGGACGCAGCAAGAGCAGCAAAATCGCGTCTGCTGCTTCATTTTTGCTTCTTGTACCAGTTTAGTTCTGACGCGCTGCTCTGGCTGCACGGTGCAAAAGTGGGTCTGACGCGGGCTGGGCGGAGCTACTCTATCCTTTCTTTGCCTTGCAGCTATATTTGCTGTGATCAGTGGGAATAAAGTAGTTTTAATATGTTTTTCAGTGGGAAAATCCACCTGAAAACTTAATCAGTGCAGTCAGTTCATCCAGATTACAATCCTGCCTTCTAATATTATTTCTGTCTTAGCCGCTCAGACCCCCACATACCAGCGGTGCGCTGTCAGTAGGATCCCATTCAACAGCAGCCTCTGGCTGGGTCGCCTCCTTTCCGTTCACCACGGCGGCTGGTAGGTGTTTTTCATCTAAATAATCCAAACTGCAGGCAGCAGGATAATAAAAGCCAATATATTCTGTTGGCAGGTTTCAGCATTTGAAGTTAATTTAGGCGTTAATAAACTGTTTCAGAGGAGTGATCACAGCGCTCTGCATCAGCAGTGCTGTGTCTGTCTCCCTGCCAGCTCCCAGATCAACTTCTCTGATTGGTTGATGCGGCGCGTTGAGCACAACGCGCAAACAACGCGTTAATCACGTGTTGTTTACGTGTCAAAATTCGCATGTTTTAAAACCAATCGGCCTTCCGTATTCAGCTGCTCAGACGCGCTGCGCCTGCTGCTCAAAACGTGCCGCGGGACATTTTGCTGCGCCTTGACGCGCGTCAACCATTGACTTTGCATGTAAACTCACTGCTTCTGCAGCACCATGAAGAATGTAGTGATGGAGATATGTGCTTGTTTTTCCTGAGATGCTCAATGTGTTTTAACATACTGCTCTGATTTTATTTTTTATATTATGAAAAATGTAATATGTTTTAAATATGTATGAACTTCCTATGGCTTGGCTGCTACCTTGGCCAGGTCTCTCTTGAAAAAGAGATTCTGAATCTCAATGGGACTTCCTGGTTATATATATATATATATTTTTACAGAGTGGCAATTATAAGGGAAAACCCTCAGATTTAGAATCCAAGTCTAAAAGGTGTTTTGAAGTTTAACTTTAATTTATTGATTTGTAATCTGTGAATCAATTCAGTTCTCTCATTTACATTTTTTAATGCAAAACAATATGACGTGCTCCACTGTTTCTTCTTGACAATAAAAATCACACTTCCCTGTATCATGTTTCCCTATTTTAAACAACCTGCTATTTAAACCTGTATGACCAAACCATAACCTTGATATCACTATTTCCCACTTTCTATTCCTTGCTGTTTTCCTCATAAAGCCAACTTTTCTTTGAATATTATAAAACCATCTACCAGTTCTTTCTTTTTCCCACTGTTTCTGCCATCTTGATCTAATCCTTTCCGTAATTACTGATTTTATTTCACCTTTACTAAATGGAATTATTGTATCAATTAAATTACATTTAATTGCTTTTTTTGCACATCTATCGTCCATCTCATTCCCTTCTATTCCTATATGAGAAGGAATGCATATAAAATAAACTATTAATCCCATTGCTTGAATTCTAAATAATAATTGCTGAATTTCTACTAATATATCAGGTCTGCTGTCTGAGTGACTGTGTTTAAATGAAAATAATGCTGAACTAGAATCAGAGCAAACTTTGCTTCTTAATGGACGAATTTCTTCCATTCATTCTAATGCCAACATGATCCCAAACATTTCTCCTGTAAGGACTGAAACTCCTTCACTGATTCTCTCACTCAATTTAAAATGGAAACTACAAACGGAACTACAAACGAAACACCATTCCTATTCGAATCTTTTGAAGCATCCGTAGAAATTTTACCAAAACCATATTATTTCTCATCTAAATATTGCTGAACCATATTTAAATCAGAGATATTCCCTTTTTTATCTGTTTAAACAGCATGTATCTTCCCTATTCTTCTTCTATTTTTTAATGGCGGTTGGCAAACAACTTATAGGTGCATTACCGCCACCTTCCAGAATTTAGTATGGATCAGACAATCTATTATATTCTCCCTAAAATACCCGTTCTTCTTAGAAAACTAGAAATACTCCCAAAAACTACATCCCCTTTGAAACAATTCCCTTATATCTAGTTTATTTTATTCCTGCCTAACTCTCTATGCAACATCTCTCTTTCCTGAGTATATTTATGTATCCTCCTGATCTTCGTCACTTCCGGTTGCCCCTGCCTTTTAGTGCGGGCAGCCCCGTTCTTCTTTCTTTTCGCACATCATGGCGGACCGGTTCAATAAGGTGAGCAGACGCTGCGGATATATTAACCATGTAAAATCCACTTTCAGGTCGACAATTGATGCCGATAGTATCAGAGCAGCACTAAGTAACTTTATTCTTTCGTTATGGTGCTTTTATTTGTTCTTTTTTTGCTGTTAAACGTATTATTTTTGCGATAATCACCGACACTCGGCCGTAGCTGTGTGGACATGCTTTCCATCATGGCAGCTTCCCTTAAGAGGTAACTGGTTTAGCTTCACCATCTAAACTGGTAGAAGGGATATATTAACGCGGTCGCGCTAATTTGATGTAGTTTTACATTTTGTACATTTACCTTTTTCTTTATTGCTGGCCTGTGATTCGAATTTGATCGTGCTGCGTGGTTGATGCTAATGTTAGCTTCCCCGTTAGCTTGGTCGTTCCTTTTATTTAGCGGCTTTTTAAACGGTTAAGATAATTTAACAAACGGCTAACAATCTATGGCGATTAATTTACATTTTAAGTGATGTGGGTAACCGATATATGAAGTCATTTGATTCACTAATGCTCACATGCTTCAATGAAGGTTCTATTACATTCTGATCTGAAAATGGATAATCAGGAATAAACACTTTTAAAATGACCTTACTTTGACAAGTGTTTAGTTCTTGAAGAATTGTGTAGATTTGACTTCTAATTTCTGTTTAACTGGGAGGATACACTTCAGTTCAGACTTGGGTTTAATGAATAGCTAACAAAATCTTTAAGGGGTTTCTTTTAAATACAAAGTGGTTAGTTAAGCCACTTGCATAAAAAGTAGCAATTTGGGAAAACTGAGCATGAAATGTTTAACCCTTATGTTATAAAGTAATTTAGGTTTTTGTTTGCTCATGCAGGTTCTGCTAATAGATGGCAGGGGCCATCTACTGGGCCGACTTGCTGCCATTACGGCTAAGCAGGTCCTCCTGGGTATGTCTTTAAAGTGTGTTTTGTTTTGTTGTTTTTTTTTAAGGTTAGCCCATTAAATGTAATGTCTTGATGATTAATTGGTGTTTTTTTGATCAATCAGGTAACAAAGTGGTGGTGGTGAGATGTGAGGGCATCAACATCTCTGGCAACTTCTACCGTAACAAACGTAAGTGAAGTGTTGAATCATAATTTTAAATATGAATGCTTGTCTGTGATGTTTTACCCAATGTAGTTCGAGTTTCACTGACCATGAGAATACTTTACATGCACTACCATCTGAGACATGAGCGCCGCTTCTAGAAGTGGCCTTTCCTTTGTTTGATTTGATGAGTAACCTTCTGTGTAATGTGCCCAATCACAGTGAAGTATCTGGCGTTCCTGCGGAAGCGGATGAACACAAATCCCTCTCGTGGACCGTACCACTTCAGAGCTCCTAGCAGGATCTTCTGGAGGACTGTTAGAGGTGAGCAGTGTTGAAAAATTAAAAAGGCATAAATGTTGCACAATTTGCTCGACAGTGATGAGCCTTTTATCCCGAAACTGATAATCCATTGATGAGCAAAATATAGATCTGACTGCTGAGTTGAGCATCAATGTCCTGTGCTTGGATGGTTGCATATTTTTCAGCTTTAAATCATTTTTAAAGTTTAAATCTTTACCCTAGGTATGTTGCCCCACAAAACCAAGAGAGGCCAGGCAGCTCTGGACAGGCTGAAGGTGTTTGATGGCATCCCCCCACCCTATGACAAGGTGAGCCAATATATTTTTATTAAAACATTTATGCAGTCTGTGATGACGTACTTCTTATCCCCCTTGGCTGAATTCAGAATGATGAATACAAGAACCTGAGACTAAACCTGCAATGAACATGTAGATGCAAAATGTTTGTTTTCTTCCCTAATGTTGGGTTTATTTTTGCAGAGAAAGCGCATGGTTGTCCCAGCTGCTCTTAAAGTCGTGCGTCTGAAGCCCACCCGTAAGGTATGACTTCTCAGTCCAAAAAGATTACGGAATGTCAAAATCTGAACATTTGAAATGTCATTCTAGCCTCTTTTTTTAAATTTTTTTTTTAGTTTGCCCTGCTCGGACGTCTGGCCCACGAGGTCGGCTGGAAGTACCAGGCAATCACAGCCACTCTAGAAGAGAAGAGGAAGGAGAAGTCCAAGCTTCGCTATGCCAAGAAAAAGGCAACGGTCACATTGACCAAGCAGGCAGAGAAGAACGTGGAGAGCAAGATTGCAAAATACACAGATGTTCTGAAACAATACGGCATTCTTGTCTGAACTGGTTTTCATTGGCCAATAAAATCTATTAAGTTTACAAACCTTTTTGTTCCTTTTTTTCCCCCCAGGGAATTTTTTCATGTGTTTAGTACATAGTTTACTGTTCAATTATTTAAATGGATTTTTGTAGTGTGAACACAAATCCCAGGTTGAAATGTTTCAGCAGGATATATCAAAACTGCAGTATAATCTGTCCTGTGTAGTAAATGTTATAACAGTCACCTAACATCCTAAATGCAAACTAGTAATCCATAAGATTTCATCTCGCATATTAATGTATAAATGCAAAGAGACACACTTGGTGTACCAACTCAGAGCAGTTATAATCAGAACACAATTTGGTGCATGGTCTGATCTGCATCTGGTCATTTCTGTCTGCATGTTTGGGAGTTCACTTTTCCTTTAGGACTTCTAAATTCCTCTTAATTCTCCAGCAACCCTTTATATTGGGCAATGCCAAAATGAATTAACCTTCTCTGAATATTAAGATTAAATTGGATGAGCTTTATTGATCTCACAGCAAAATTCACTGGTCACGCATAGTAAATAAAGAAGGTGCAAACAAGGAGGAAAAATTTGCATTAAGAATAAACTATACACTATCAAGATAAGGAGGTGCAAGTGTACATGTATCACACACAATGAAAAACAAAAACTACAATATAGCTGCACAGTAGTGATGGGTCAGGCAACACCGATGCGTCGGCGCATGTCTGTCTCATAGAGCGAAACCTGTGTCGACGTGTGTATCGCTACGGAAAAGTTCCTGTATCGGTCACGTGACCGATGTTTCGAACTGATAAGCCTTTATAAGGATGCGCATCTGCCAACGAAATGCATCTACCAAAACAATTTTGCGTGTTTTGCGAATATAAAATTCATCAAAAATTATGGAGCTTCCTCAAGCAAAAAAGGTTTCTGCTGTGTGGGACCACTTTGATGTCATTTCGGAAAATAAGGTATTTGTTTTAATTTCCTTGTTTCATCCTGTTCCTCTCAGAGTTTCCACTTGATTCATGTACTAAAATACTTTTTTTTTTTAAGATGACCTTTGGGAACATTTTGATCTCGAAGTGGGGAGGCAGACCAAAAGTGCCACAGCTGATGCCATCCTTGAGGTGCAGAGATACATGGCAGAGGGCAATATTGCGAGGTCCCAGGATCCTCTTGTATATTGGAAAAACTAAAGGACGGTTTATCCAAACCTCTTCCGCCTGGCCTTAAAATTTTTGTGCACTCCAGCTTCATCTGTGCCGTGTGAGCGGGTGTTTTCCACAGCTGGAGAACTAATATCAAAAAAGCGCAACAGACTGAATTTCAAAACTTATTTTTTTAAATAAAAATTTGTAAAAAAAAAAAAAAAAAAAAAAATACCAGTGAACAAGCATCTTCATTTACTACATGTTTACTTAGACTTAGACTTGACTTTATTAATCTCTTGGGATTACTCCCTTCGGGAAATTGTATTTCCAGTAGCAGGAAAAATTGCAAGAGAGAAGAAAATAGAGGATGTTTAGACACAGTATATACAATAGAAAAATAAAATCAATTAAATAAGGTGTAGGAAGATGTATTGGGGGATGAGGATAGACAGATAAATACAGATTAGAGATTATTAAATTATGATGCAGGTTCTCATTATTCATTGACTGTTTCTAAAATATCAAATATGTTTTAATAATAATACAATGCATCATACAATGAATTGCATCATATTAGTGTATATAATAGGTCATCAAATCAGTGTCAGTTAACTCTGTCAACTAGGTTGCCTGTAGGGATTTTTAATGTCCAGCAGGTGTCAGTATTCAGTGACACAGTATCGACACAGTATCAATACAGTTTGGTAATGTGTCGAAACGTTTCATGACGCCTCATCAACCCATCACTACTGCACAGTGGTTTTTACAGGAGTTATTGTCGACAATACTAATCCCATGTTTATAAACCAAAGCAGCAGGCCTCCCTTCAACAAAATGTAAGTGAAAGGCGTACATATCTATGCAACCGGGTTCTTTTAATTTTCTAGGTGTAAAGGAGTTTATGCTTTCCCTTTTTGTCTTAAATTTGTGCCATAAGGTTTACACTAAGGAAGTCCACTGTATGTCTATGGAATTGACATGTACAATTCTATTCAGATATAATTGCCAATTCCATCATTTAAACACTAAAGTCACTAAAGGGGAATTACCAGTTAATCTAATTGATTTCTTTGTTTTTTTTGCTGGCTGATACTTGTACTATAAAACATTTTATTTGTAATTCACAGTTTCTGAATGCTTAAATCCTAACTGATTTTTTTTAATAGCATAATTAGTAAAATTAATGACAGCAAAACCGCTCACTGAGTTTGCAAAACTAAAAGCACAAACACACCATGCTCAGTTTGCATTTTTGTTTAATACACTTTTCAAAACTAGAAACAGACCTCCGCACAGCACACTTTTTGCTGAACTTTAAACAGCTTACTGCTTTACACTTAATTTCCTAATGATCAGCACATTCCTAGAAAAACTATACATATATGGCATACTATTTTGCCAACTGTCTGGTACACTGTCACATGTCGAAGCTTTTTTAGATAATTAGTTCACTTTGCAATCAACCTAAATACTATAAACAGCCCACATGAGAGCTGTCTGTGTGGATTACAAAGCAGGGAATGAGAATTAGAGGAGGCAGAGGAAGAGGAGACCAGATACAACATCATATGGGACAATGTTGGTTTCCATAGGGCTGCTTTTTCACTGCACTGAAGTGGCCTCCATTCTTGAATCCGATTGAAGAGTTCTTCTCTGCCCGGCGCTGGAAGGTCTATGACCATCATCACCATCAGCCCTTTTACAGGCAATGGAGGAGGCATGTCAGGCCTGGGTACGGCATTCCAGGAAATAGATCCAGGAAAATTCCAGGCTTGTGTTAACTCTGATAAAAAAAAGAGAATTTTTAGGCTTGAAGAGTTAAGCAATGATTACCAGCTTTTGGTAAAGAACTACAATATTTTGCCGATCTAGCAAAAGGTTTTAATATTTTAGTGTAAAGTTTAGCAAAAATAGCCAAAAGTTACAAAAATTGTGCTTCAAACCATCAGAAAATACCAAGGGCGTAGGTTTGATTTCAACTTTGGTAGGGACACTATGCTCTTTTTTATGCTTAATTCGAGCTTCAGGGCTCATTTTGTTTAAAGAGAACAGCAGCATTTCTTGCTACATTAATACAAATCTTATAAACACTACATGCACTAGATGCTGTTTATCAATATTTAAAGCATAACTGGCTCTGATGAATGTGGAATTAGGACTTTTTCCACTTTGAAAAGGATTGCATTTAAATTTACCTGCTACTAAGACAGTGTCTGTTTAACCAAATATAGTCTATAATATGTGGATTTATCCTGTGTTTTCTTCTGAAGATATAGAATTGTGCAGAGGTAAAACCCACTCTTATTTTTTTTAAACTAATATGCTCTCTGGATCATGCCAAATAATACATTCAAGGGACAGCAAATAAATGTATTGTATTTACATGTGCACTAGAACTGGAACTGACACTGAGCATTTAAAATATTAATATTAGAAGTTGTACATCTGGGCTGTAGTTACTCTGTGTAGCTAATTTCATGTATTTTATCTATGGCTGAAACAATTAATCATATTAACAAATTATTTAAATAATCGTGAACTAATTTAGTAATTGATTAATCGTAAACTGGAGTATAGGGCCACTAAAATGTGCCTTTAGCCGACAGAGCGACCCACTTAGAGCAGGAATTATACCAAGACTGTAAAAAAAAAAGTTTTTGTCTGTCAATATTCTCCATCCAGAACTCCTCCAAAGGAAACGTTTAAACGTTTCTGTTTCACCTGGTTTCATTTCATAAAAGGTCTTCTTTAAGGAGCCTTTGGCTATCTGATTAAAAGATAAAATAAAAGAAATCCTAACGTTGTTAACTTTCATTTCTCAAGTTCCAGATATCAAAAAACGTTCTCCTGCTTCTTTACAGAACTCCAGTCGGAAGCTTTCGCCTGTTTTAGCGTAGATAATAAGTTTTTTAATTTGGACTAGTTTCGTAGCCCAATATTAATTTATTTTAGCGTCTTTTTTTTTCGTGCTCCAAGCACCCACGCGCGCGCACATACAGACTAGAAAACACGCAATCAGAAAGAGAGAAGGCGGAACTTAAGGCAGAATACTCAGAGAGTTAGGCCCCGTCCACACGAAGACGAACCCTGGCCTAAACGCACAATTTTTTTTACCAAACCAGCCTCTCATCCACACGAAGCCGGCGTTTCGGGGGTCTGTAAACGATCTTTTTTTTATTCAGCCTTCAGAGTGGGAAGATTTCGAAACGCCGTTTTCGCGTTTCCATCTTTACGCTCTAACCGCATTTTATTTTTTTTACACGCATGCGTCATAGCGTCGCCTCTAAACACGCATGCGCGACACAGTATCACAACAACAATGGCGCCGTTGCTGGTAATGCTACTCACCCTGCTGTCGGGCTTACAACAGAATCTTCTTCTGGAATATCTACAGGAAGAACAGAGCAATATCCACGACATAGTTCAGCACCTGAATTTGACTTAACCACGAAAATGGACCCGCAGGGCAACCATGTATAAATATTAGTGCGCATGCCCAACATTTCGTCGCTTATTTTTGCTTTGGCACCACAGCGCCACTTACAGGCCTGGCATACATTTTGCAGCGTTTTCATGCATTCGTGTGGACGATCACATTTATTTTACGTCTCCGTCTTTACGGCAAACGTTTTGGAAAATATCAGCGTTTCGTGTTCGTTTTGACTTCGTGTGGACGGGGCCTTAAACCGCGCAGCACAGTTGATGCGCTGCTATGTGAAAGGGAAAGGAAAGAGCAGGCAGCTGCAGCTACCAGGCAGAAAAGCTGCGAGAGGAAAAGAAGCCGCTGCTGTATAGTAAATTATAAACATGTTGTTCACATGGGTCCGTCCAAAATTTTGGTAGGGACATGTCCCTATGCAAACCTACGCCCATGGAAAAAACTGTAAGAAAGAGATAAGAGTAGCTGCTGACCAGAACTTATCCCCCAAAGTTCCTCTCCATCTTGTGACCTTTGCTTTTGTATCAGCAGAGGTCAGCATTGCTCTTCATGTGGATGCTGCTCTCTGCTGCTTCATGTGGCAGTTACATCCTCAGCAGACAAGTCTTAGATAATGTGAAACATGCAGACCCTTAGAAAGGCTGTTGTGTCTCGGCTCAGTTGAGGTGACTTTAGTAGCTAAGAAACATCAAAGCAACAAATAAAGCAAAAGCCCTTTGGAACAGAAGGAGGTCTTTAAACATAAGCAAAACACTTTGTATTAAATACAGATTCATTGGCTCGGCTAATTCTGTACTGGACGTGTTTGCACACTGCAGGCTCTGGTTATTAGATCTGTCTGCAGTAAAATTTGCCCTGGACAGCTCAGTATTAATTGGAACCTCTACTCTTCTGCATGCGAATCTCCTGGGAGTGGACTTCTGTATAGCTTTAAAACTGAAATTAGGACAAGCTCTAAAGTTATCACCATCTGATTGAATTACTAACCCATTACCCATACCTTAATGAAAATAAAATTAAAGATTTACATGAATACATGTTCCTGTCAAAGCTCAGACAGCTTTAATATGTTCTGCTCTGTTAAAACCATTTTGTTTATCCAAAGGTTTTTATCATTAAATCAGACATACAGAATTTAAGACGTATTTCCATCTTCCTAAAATGCCTTATAAATCAGTTTCAAATTTTGGTCTATATGCAAAATTTCTCTGCAATGTGAATCCACTAAAGGAGCAGCTGCTGCTACTAAAATATATTCACTTTCTAACGTAGAAGATACTCCTGTTCCAGTTCTTTTGTCTTTCTCCTCTATCTTATCAAGTGCTCACTCTGCCTGTTAGGCTCCTGTTAAACGACAGTTGTTCTTTCCCACTGTTACTATATGCATGCTCTGGAAGAAGGGTTGCTGTAGAATCCGTCGACTGGCATGATAAACTATAGCTACATCATTTTATATGTTTTGCTTGAATTACACTTATCAATAAATTGAACTGACCAGATATTTCTGGAAGATTTCACCTGTTTTTCTAGAACAATAGCGCCAATTCACAACACATGTCATCTCAAGGCACGTTACAGTTCACCACATCATCCAGTCAAATTGATTCAAACTGTCATGATTTTACAAACTGAATTCCGTTTACATAAAAGAAGAAGAGGAAAAAACTTCCGGTTTATTCTGATAGGATACATTCATGTTTCAGAGAATTTTGTCTTTTATTTTAAAATCAAAATAAGTTTGTAGCAAGAGCAGTGCACATAAGCTTTTGCAAGTGTATTTGTAGTATTAATCAGAGAGACCAGGTGGGGGCATTAATGGTCTTCATTTGGTGTTTTCCTCCCTGTAAGTATGGATAGAGGGAGAGCAGCTTGTCACACCCATGCATTTGCTTTGTCATCTTACCCCTCCTTCTTCTTTCCCCTCTCCTTCAGAAAAGGGAATGGCACACTTATTCAGCCAATAGGAGCACAGCTCCACCTCCTCCATCACATCATCTCAATCTCTAAGGTAACAGAGAGCCCCTCTCCCTCAATCTGTGTTTCTACATTGCAAGGTGCCGCATCAGCATCCCTCCCATCTCACCCTCCCATGCTAAGCTATTGCATGGTTAGCAGTAGTCCTCTTTCTATTACCATACTCTGCTTCCTCTGCAGTGAGATTGTGAAACCTTAGGGGCAAAAAAAAAAAAAAACCATAGAAGAAAACAGAAGGGAGGAAGATGGTATGAAAGAGAAGAGGAACAATGTGGTACGTACCTCTGAGCCTCTTCCTTCCTGCTTGGTCTCCCCTTCCTCATATCTAAATGTGTATTTGATCCTTACCAGAATATAGCTTTATTCAACTGATAATACAAAACATTAAAAAAGGGAATGAGCTGAGTCCAACTATCTGTCTATGCTTTTGTTAGGGAGTGATGTTTCTGTATGGGGGCAGCATACTGAGTGAGGCCCACACTGTCTGTGTTATTTGTTAGTCCCTATTGAGTTTTGTGATTGAAAATTAATAATATTATAATGGTTTGCTTACACGGAACAGAAGCTCACGGCCGTGTTGCAGGTTTTATTTTATTTATTTTAATGTCGTTTTGGGAGAACGGTCCTTATTCAAACTAGATGTTACTCAGTTGTTTATGATGATATTTTACTGTCAGTAGTTCTGATGAGTACATCTGAATGTTCCTGTTGGCTGTACTTATCTTTCTAAACTAAGCTAGGGCATGGCATTAAATGTAGGTTAGTTAATCAGGAAATAACGTAAATCGAGTGGGTATAAGGGGGAGCAATGTGATGTTTTTCAACAAATTTCTATTATAAGATTTTGCAGAGCAGAGTACTAGTCACATATGTTTGTTGTTTTGAATATATCTCTCTGCCACACCTGAATAGTGGACTCCACATTAGTTTACAAAATCAAACATCTCTACTATCAAAGTTCCAGTTCATCAAAAAACATGAAAATTGGACATATAAACTTCAACTTTTGCTCTTTGTTTATTTGACTTGAATAAAGGGTCTGATACATACAAATTGGAGTCCCATACAATGTGTGTTTGATTTGGATCCTAAAACTAAACAAGTAACCAAGCAAATATCTTGTTTTTTTTTTATTTTTTTTTTATAAAATTCTACCAAGAGAGCATGAATACAATTCTGGTTCTCCTTCAGAATGAAACAGTTTAGTATCAGCTACGGTTCTACAGTTGCAGATGTTTTTGCTACTTGAAGCGTTTGGCTGTTTTAAAACTTAAAATATCCCTTTTAAATATATTTCCCTATCCAAATGTAAACATTTGAAAACTTCAAAGTCACATCTCCGAATATCTAATCATTCTATCTGTTAGCATCTTCTACACTATTTCTTTGTATTTTGTTGTGGAAATTATACAGGGAGGGAGCGGGAGATCGACAGGCGGATTGGCGCAGCGTCTGCCGTGAAGCGGGCGCTGTACCGGTCCGTCGTGGTGAAGAGAGAGCTGAACCAAAAAGCGAAGCTCTCGATTTACCGGCCGATCTACGTTCCTACCCTCATCTATGGCCATGAACTCTGGGTCATGACCGAAAGAACGAGATCGCGGATACAAGCGGCCGAAATGGGTTTCCTCCGTAGGGTGGCTGGGCTCTCCCTTAGAGATAGGGTGAGAAGCTCGGTCATCCGGGAGGGACTCGGAGTAGAGCCGCTGCTCCTCCACGTCGAGAGGAGCCAGTTGAGGTGGAATGGGCATCTGGTTAGGACGCCTCCTGGACGCCTCCCTGGTGAGGTGTTCCGGGCACGTCCCACCGGGGGAGGCCCCGGGGAAGACCCAGGACACGCTGGAGAGACTATGTTTCTCGGCTGACCTGGGAACGCCTTGGGGTTCCTCCTGAGGGGCTAGAAGAAGTGGCTGGGGAGAGGGAAGTCTGGACCTCCCTTCTTAGGCTGCTGCCCCCGCGACCCGACCCCGGATAAGCGGAGGAAGATGGATGGATGGATGGATTATACAGTAAAATGGCATATTTTTTTCTTGGTAAATTCAATCATATTATATCACTATGTACATAGTGATAAGTTAATGCACACTTCTGAAATTGTGGTAACATACCTTGATCGCATAACAGTTCTAAATTCAGTTAACTAACTTTATCACTATCATTAAATTATAGTAAGTACTGTAGATAACTTTTCATAGTTACACCTTATGCTTCCATATGCCATTCTAAAATGGTGGAGTTCAATTCTTTTTTTAAAAAAAAAGCTCTATATTTCACCTGTTTATTTCAAAGTAAAAAGCATACTGCTCTATTAATCTTAATTCCCTAGTATCTTCAAAGACATCTTCATCCGGACCCTGGGAGCTTGATCTCTAAATACCATGTAAATGCAAATTTATCTTAATTGAGAAAGAAGGAAATTTTCTTTTTTTTTTCTTTGTTCAGGATTTATTTTTCATTTGGTAAACAACCACAAATTCAAGAGCAGTAACCATACCCTGGTTACACCTGTGGGATGAGTCTCAAAACACTGACTCTAGTGCTTTGTTTGTCCTTTTCTCTTTAATTACTTTTCAGAGTTGCCAAATAAATGGCAAGAACTGAAACATCGTGTCATATTCAACAATCTACAGTATTTCACATATGCTCCAAGTTTAACACGCCCAATGTACAGTATACTCTGGTCATGTTTTGCAATGTTTTCAGTTTCCAAGAGCTGTGTACAAATTGTGGAAATATGGTGCATGCTTGCACTGGTCCTGTTCTGCTAGTAGGCATGTATTTCTCTGAAGTTTCCCATCCTTTTGCTTCAATGTATGCAGCTCTGCATTTAACCAAGGAGCCAGCCTCCTATTGCTAGATTTCTTCCTTTTCAAAGGGGCTACAGGAACTATTAACCCCATCAACAAAATCATCAATTTGTAAAGTAATGAAATCATTGGCCAATAACAGTGTTGTTCAGTGACACAGAGGAGATAAATAGCGGAACAGATTCTTTATTATATTTTCTGACAATGCAAATTGTCAGAAATTTGCAAAAATGAAACATTACACTTTATGTTATAAAAACAAACTCTTAATGTCCGTTTGACGATGATCTTATTATAGAACGATCAGCACTTTTTCACAGAGAATTAAATATTTATAGGGAGAGGATTCTACAACTTTTTTCCCCCAAAAATCTGTTTATCTTTTATATTTCACAAAGAAAGTACAGACAAATTACTCAGAATTGTATAAAATACAAAACAAAAGCACATCAACAACTCAAACATTCAAGGTGACTAACATTAGTTCAGTACAGCGAGACACAGTTCTTTTAAGTTTGATATCTCAGTAGTGTAAGCTGAGATCCAGTCCAAGCGATATCATCACAGTCCACAAGCTACAGTAGGTGTATGTCGGTAGCCTCGTCCTCCCCGAATCCAGGCATCACGACTTCAGCGAGTCTGCCTCGTCCATTTCCCCAAGCAAGCGAGTACATTTGGAATCAACATAAAGATAACAGACTTAAAGCCAATATGTGTAAAAACATAAGTGACATTTAGCTAGAGAACACTTCATCATGAGTATTTATATTTTCCAAGAATAGAAAAAACTTTTCCCATATCTTTTTGAAAACACAATATTTGCCCTTAAACATAAAGGAGAGCTTCTCCAAGGCAAGAGAACTTGATAGTGTAGACATCCAAGTTTCCAATTGGGGTCTGGTGACAGATTTCCAGGATCTGGTTATACTATATTTGGCCTGCACTAAACAGTAAATTATGGATTTCTGATTAACCTTACTTATTTGAGTTTGATTGGGAAAATTCCTAAGATACACAACCTAGGACAGGTTTTAAGTTTAGTACCAACGGTAGATGAAATTTTGTTCCGACCTCCTTCCAAAATGTCTGAATCTCAGGACATTCCCAAAGGCAATGAATCAGATTGCCCTTATCTCCACATTTAACAAATGTTTCCGGAATTTCGGGGTTAAAGTTATTTAACAATGTTGGTGTGATATATGTTCTCATCAACCATTTGTATTGGATTCATTTACATGAGTATTACGTAATAGATTTTGACTGTGCTTTCAGACAAACCATTCCTCTGCTGATATGTTACATTTCAAGTCTTCAAACCATGCCATTCATTCTGTTCTGACCATATCTGGGAGCTGTCTTTAATGACGTTATAAAAGCGGGATATCAGGCCCTTCTTTAAATGGCAATTTGTTGCCTGTTCTTCTATAGAGGTAAGAGAGGGCGATTTTAGAGATTTTTGAGTGCCCAAGATAAAACTTCTAATTTGAAAAAAAAAAAAAAAAAGTTTGGTTGAAATGTCAAATTTCTGTTTCAAGTCTTCAAAACTCATCATGATCCCTTTATCATATGAATTTGAAACTTTGCATAAACCTTTAGCGTGCCACATTTTAAAATCCATGTGCTTCCTACCTTGTTCACATGTCTTATTGCCCCAGATCGGGGAGAATTGGGATAGTATTGGTGTTTCATTTTTGAATTTATGTACATCATATCATCCTCGGGATTAACAAATGGGTTTGATGTGTTTTTCAATAACTCTTTTCATTTCTTTGAGAATAGATATGAACACCTGCTCCTTGTCAGCTCGTTAGCCCTCCCTTTGTCTCTGTCAGCTATTTATGCTCTCCCTCTGCTCTCACTCTTTGTTGGTTCCTCTGTTGTTGCTGGTCCTGTCATCGCTGCAATCGTCTCCCCTCGTCTCTCCCTGGCTCCTTCTATGTGTTTTCCCTTGATGTCTCCATGGTTCTGGTCTGTTACTTTTTAGTTGGATTTTTGGACTGCCTTTGTTAACCATTTTTTCATTAAAACTACAAGTATTCACCTCTGCCTCTGCATTTGGGTCCTCCAAACCACAACCAACCTTGACATATTCACTGCATGATGCACACTAAAGTCAGACTTCTGGAGTAGCGCTGTCGTTCCTGGGGCCATTTTATTTTCAAAGAAATCAACACAATGTTAATTTGAAAAAGACTAAGTCCACTTTAGTCATCAAAGTTGATATAAACAAATCATATTGAGCTTTTAACAAACATTTGCTTAATGAACAAAGTACATCGATATTAAAAAAGCAGCATTTGCTATGACAGGAGGACAGGGATTAGTTGTTCAAACACCTGGAGTTACTGTCATTAAAACTTTGCACATAATCAGTCTGTAAACTGTTCATCCCTAGTTTTTATGAAACTCTGCTATCCTTAATGTCACAATTAATCATTTACATTCATTTTAAATTGTGATATCAATTTTC